CAGCCTTCAGTATGGATTGAAGCTCAATGTCAAGAAGACAAAGATTCTCATCACTGGACCAATTGGCAGCATCAAGATGGATGGATGGTGAAGAGATTGAGATTGTTAACAACTTCAGTCTGCTTGGCTCCACAGTCAACACTCTTGGCACCAGCTGCAAGAAAATAAAAAGAACATGTTGCAATGGGAAAGTTTGCTGTTAGGGACCTCTCCAGGGTACTGAAGAGCAATGGTGTCACTCTGGAGACTAAGGCATGTCTAATACAGGCCATGGTCTTTGCAATCACTTGTTATGCATCAGAGAGTTGGAAAATGACTAAGGAGGATAGAAGGAGAACTGATGCCTTTGAGCTATGGTGCTGGAGAAGAGTATTGAATGTACCATGGACTGCCAAGAAGACAAACAGATTCATCTTGGAGAGGGTTAAACCATGCTACTCCTTGGAGGCAAGAATTCTGGGGCTTAGTCTGACATACTCTGTACATGTTGTAAGGAGTGACAGGTCTTTGGAGAGGGACATCATGCTTGGGAGGGTAACTAAGGATGACTGAAAAAGGATCCGTGTCTTTTACTTGTGGTGCTGTAGAACAATGTTCATTATACCATGATCTGCCAGGAGAACAAACAGGTCTATCCTGCAGAGGGTGAAACCAAGCTTCTGCCTGGAGGCAAGGATTTTGAAGTTCAGTCTCATACTTTGGTCATGTGGCCCTGAGAGACCTGTCTTTGGAGAGGGATATTATGTTTGGAAGGATGGAGGGACTGTATAGGAGGAAGATGACCCAAGATGCTATGTATTGACTTAGTGACTGGAGAAATGGGATTAGGTCTGTTGGAGATGATGAAATTGGTTCAGAATAGGGCAAGTTTCAGTGCTAATGTACATAGGGTGGCTGTGAGTTGCAGGCGACTCAATGGCACATAACAACAAAACAGTTTAAATACTCTAGATATTACACCATCTAGTGTAAATATTCTAGAAACCTAGTGAAAAAGATACACTATAAATTAAACTAAAGAAATCATACACTAAAAATTGTGCACTAAAGACTATTCACTTGGCACCTAGAAACAATGACTCACATGACGTTTTATGAAGATACACACAATGCTTCAAGCACAGCAATAGTAAATGAGCAGAAAAACTCAGGTATAATTTGGCACACACAATCTAAACCTGTGTTGTTCAAGGGTTAATTGCACTTTCCCAACCCTTCATATAATGTCTGAAGATACACGGTACGCATTGCATACACACATGAAAAAAAACTTTTCATTATTTCTGCATAAAAGTTTCATTTTCTGACTCATATTTTTGGACTCCCTGGGCAGCACTAATCATTTATGTGTTTGTGCTTAAGTTGGATTTTTAAGACAACCTACAAGAAACTTAGAAGAAAAGTCTGGCAATATAGTTCTCAATAAAGCAGCTGTTGAAAACTCTATGGGGACAATGTATTATCTGACCCATATGGCTTTGCTGTGAGTCAGGATCAACCCCCTGGAAATGAAAAATTTATTTTCATAATGTATTTTTTTTAACTCGACGGCACATAACAACAAACAACATTTTTTTTTAAGCTTAAAGTGTTCTTCTAATCAATTTGCCTTTCAGGGCCAAGGTAAAATGGCTGGTTTTTCATTATATTGTCTCTAAATTCCTTAGAAGTAATTAATATTCTTGCTTTAAAATTCTGTAGAAATGTTTTCATTATTTTTTAGAACTTGTGATTTTGTACCTTAAGATATATTTAAATTTTCTCCCCCTCTCTAACCGTATGAATAGCTTCTTGAAGACAGTCTACAGAAATTTCACTTTGTAAGTGCTATGGTGGCAAGTAGAAAGATTTACACATAGTAGGTGCTCAGTTATTTGTTGGTAAGTGCTCAGTTATTTGTTGAATGAATGACTGGATGGTTTAAAGAATATTAATATTTAGAAGCTTTATTACTCTGAAGTTTTTGAAGAAGATTATCTGTGGAATTTACATGAACATTTTTGAGAGTCACAAGTTGAGAACTATTTATTTGCAATAATCAGGCTTATTTCTTAAACAAGATTAGTGATTGTCCAGTAATTTTCTACAAAGTTTTAGGAATTCCTTCACGTGGCCATGTATTTCCTTCCCTGGCCAGTGGAAAATGGTAAGTAGACAGAAGTCTCTTCACTATATTTTGCCTTCAACTAAAGTCCCTTTTTTGCTTTATTGACATTTTGTACCAGAGTTTACTTACAGTAAGTTTGTGTGTGTGTGTGTGTGTGTGTGTGTTTATGTACAAAATTCAAACACACAATTTTTCACATCAGATCCTTCCCAATTCAATCAACACCCATCTATAAAATTGTAAGACCCTATGATTAATTCCCCACACACTTACTCACCCATCTGCTTCCTCCCTCCCCCCAGCTTAGAGTCTCATACTCATTCTACAGTAAAGGTTTTATATAGTATTTGTCCTTGCAGAACTGAGTTAGTTCACTTAGCATAATGCTCTTAAGTTGCTCTCAAGTTAGGTAATAATTTTATACTGGTTTACACACAAAGTTCATAAAGTTCACATACATTGTTTTTCGCATGAAACCTTTCCTCTTTCCTTTCCCAAACCCTCTCTTTACTCATCAAATTGTGTAACTCTATATTTAAACCCCTCTCCCCTCCTTAAATCCTTGTACATGCTCTACAATACTATACAGTATTTGTCTTTATGAGACTGAGACAGTTTACTTAGCATAATGCCCTCCAGTCCCTCTCATTTTAGATAATACTTTACAAAATTGCTGCCTCTGAGTGCTGCATAGTATTCCATTGTGTGAATGTACCATAATTTCTCAATTCATTTCACTGTGGTTGGGCATTTGGGCTGTTTTCATGTTCTTGCTATGGTGAATAATGCTGTTATGAACACCAGTGTACAAGTCTCTGTACCTCAGTTCTCACTTTCTTTGGGTATAATCCAAGCAATGGAATAGTTTGGTCATACGGAATTTCTTTGTACAGCTTTTTGAGGAAATGTCAAATGGCCTTGCAGAGTGGTTGTACCATTTAAAATTCCACCAAAAATTTATAAGTGTTCCTTTTTCACCACATCCTCTCCAACATTTATTACTTGATGCCCTACTTAACTTTGCCACTGCTATTGGGATAAGATAGTACCTTATTGTGGTTTTGATTTGCTCCTCTCTTATTGACAGTGATTTGGATCCAAGTACACAGTCTGAAGAGGATAAAATTTATGAATGATACATACCTTCTAAAGGTGAAAACCCTGTGCTCATCAAAAACTTTTTTCAACATGGTGAAAAGAAAACCTACTGACTAGGAACAAACATTTGGCAATACCATATTAGACAAGGTTCTCATAATAAACATTTATAGAATCCTACATGGGCTAAAGATATGGAAAGACTTTTCACTGAGGAGGAGATTTTAATAGCCAAAAGACACATGAAGAGATGCTCCAAATCACTGACTTACAGTAAATTTTACAGTTTTAAAAGATTTAGAAACCCTTTGGAGTTAAGCTGAAATACTCTGACTCAATTTTGTTCATTTCTATTTTGCATAAAACTATCTCCTGTCATTAGCAACATAAATAAACCATTTTGTTTTGACAGCGTTTTCTAAAATAAAATGACCAAGATGCTATTTGGATAGTTTTAAATCATATCCTCTAATAATATTCAACTTTATGAGGTATGGCTTCTATAATATATCTTAAATTCAACCTTGGTCTAACCTTACTGACCTGGAACTTAGATTACTGTTGAATCATTCAGATGTCACTATTTTTTTTAAGATTCTTCATCTCTTTGAAAGATCTCTGATGGGTGGGCAAATGGAAGAGTGAATAAAGGGACAGGTAAGAATCAGTAGGAACTTGGAAGATGGAGTGATTATAGGGATAGGTCAGTAGAAATGAATTATATAAAAGAAAACATTTGTATTGTATAAAATGCAATGAACCTATGTGTATATAAATATTGCATTAAAATCAATACAATACAAAAATTAAAAATTTCTAATAAATAAATAAACAAAAACAAAGTATAGGAAAACTTTCTATTGTCTAAGCTTGTTAGTAGCCTTTTCCCTTTCCCATGGGGCATGTACATAAACTAGATCAGCAATAAATCTTAAACATATCCTCATTGGAATCTGTCCTAGACTTCTAGTTAGTTTTACAAGCCCAAATTTATTATTAAAAAAAACAATACCTGTTCAAGTCACGGTGAATAATTGGCTGTGTCAGGTTGTGAAGGTACTCCATACCTTTGGCAACATCTACTGCAATAATTAATTTAGACTGCAAGTCAAGAATCCTAGAATTTAAAAATAGATTTAATGAGGATGAAATAGTCAAAGGCAATATCATATATTTCTAAAAGAAATTAAATGGTATATGTGATTTGATTTCCGTCTTTTGTGCTTTGTTGAAGGTCAAACTAAAAATTCAACAAATCTAGTAAAAAAGCTTTCCTACATCAGGAAATGTTTAATTATAGATCAACCACTGTGGTTTAAAATGATATATTTTATTTTATAATATTTGCAATATTTCATTCTTTTAAATTAAGTACAAAAATAGAATGTATTTTAATCACTATTGGCCAAAATTGCATTATAATTATTATATGCACAAGCTGAGAAAGTAGACTTATAAAAGTCAATTCTTTAAAAACTTTATTTAATCAACTTTGAAAATAATTTTATTCCAAAATTATATATAACTGCTTCACTGGTGTGACAAATCTAGCCTGATAATTATCAGGACAATTTCCAATTTAAAATTCCCCTGGATGTGTTAACTTCAACTAAGAAAGAACAGATGCAGCTAATGTTAATGGAAATACAATTATTGAGCATGAATTAGAAAACATCTTTGAAATGGCACACTTGATTTTGCTCCAATACTTCAGACAGTGACGCTCATATAAGCCACTTAAACTATTTAGGTTTTATGTTGACATGTCAAATAATAAATCCAAGAAAATTCTCATACCTCTTCTGCTCATGAAGAAGGGAGAACAGAGAACCTCCTGATATGTACTGAGTTACAATGGCAAACTGGCTGGGATCATTCAAGCAAGCACCCACAAACTGAATCACACAAGGGTGATTGAGACGACAGAGAATGGATACCTCTCTGCAAAACATGTCCACATCTGACTTGGAGCAGTAAGTGTTGGCTCGATAACTGGAAATGACAATAGAAATCCTTCGATAGTAGACAGTTCAAGACAAGGGACTTCTACAATATGTTTTCAAGGATTTAAAAAAAAAAACCCCAAAACATATCAGAAGCTATTAACATTAGTGCAACTAAAGTCGGAATACATCCTACCCCCCCTTCTCCTCCCCTGCTGAATTTTCTGGCTTTAAAAAAAAAAAGAAAAAAAAACACCCCACAAGAAACCCAAAACAAACACTTGGATGCCAAATTGGCTTTTTTTGTTTGCTTACCGTTTTATAGCTACTATTTTATTCCGGCATCGTCCTTTATACACTTTTCCAAAAGAACCTAAATTATTTAGAAGAAATAGATAAGAAAACACTTATAGTTTAATACTCATGAAACTAAAGTGGATGGGTGACTTCTTAGGATGCCTTACCTGAACCAATAATCTCATGGAACTCGATTTCTGAGAGTTGAAGATGGAAATGTGAGGGTAATCCAGCCCTGAGGAGGAGAACATCTGCTTTCTCTGTAAACAGAAGTTTTTAAAAAGAGAATAAGCACATAATAAAGCACATATATGCTTTACTCATTCGAAGCATGGGCTAATAGTATTTTCCCACTGTAATTGACTATTCTGGTACGCTAAAATCTTAACATAAATGATCCCTGTCCCTTAAAAAAATATGCATCGTCTCTGTCCTCATTACCTGCCCTTTGCTATCGGAGGTAATCATTCCCTGAATAACTAGCGTGCTTTGAGCAGTCCGTAGCACATATGGTAAAGGTTTTTTAAAATCTGGTGAATTCCTCCAACCTAAAATAGAATCGGGAGAGACTGGAGAACATTATAATGAGTGAACTAACTCAGTCCCACAAGGACAAATATTGTATAAAACCATTATATTTAGAATGAGTATGAGAATCTAAGGAAGAGGGTGGAAGCACAGGGATGAGGATGTGCAGGGGGAGAGGAGAATTAATCATGGAATTGTACAATTTGATGGGTGGAGAGGTGAGAAAAATCGAAAGACTCTGGTTCAAAAATAATGTATTCAAATTTTGTAAATAAACTAGTATAATAAAAAATATAAAATATCTATAAGAGCTAAAAAATAAAACTACAGGCTTTCTCAACTTGACATCAACTAAACTTTAAAAACATGACATTAAATGAATGGAAATAAGCCCATTAATGATTCATAGAAAATATCTAAGCCAAAAAGTTATTTTAAAAAGGCTTGTAAACTCCTATGAATTATGCATGCATTTATGTCGTTGTTGCTATGTGAGGTCGAGCCGCTTGCGACTCATAGTGACCCTATGTACAACAGTCCTAAACTCCTCTCTGTCCTGGGTCAATCGCACCGTTTCCAATACACACATCCCGATTAGGACCAGTCAGTCCTTCCTTACAACATGTCCAAAGTATGTTAGATGGAGCCTCAGAATCCTTGCCTCCAAGAGGCTGCCCTGTTTAACCCTTTCCAGGATGAATCCGTTTATTTTCCTAGCAGTCCATGATACCTTCAATACTCTTCTCCAGCACCAAAGCTAAAAGGCATCAACTCTCTTTTTATCCTCCCTAGTCATTGTCCAACTCTCTGATGAATACCAAGTGATTGCAAAGACCATGGCCTGT